CGGCATTCCCTCTGTCAGAAACTCTCCTCGCGGGGCGTGGGGTGAGGGGGGCCTTCTAGGGTCTGTTCTGCGGACTCGGTAATGCTTCCCAGCAGGGGGAAGGGGAGGGTCAGGAGGACATGTGTGTTTGCCTCCACTGGTGGAGGCCAAGGCTCCCTCCAAGCTGTGGTGTCTCGTGAGCGAAAATTCTGCTCTGTGAGCTACTGGGCATTAAAGTTGTGAGCGGGCGGTTGGGCTGCTGCATAAACTAGTTTGCTATGGAGCCCCCTCCTTCCCGAGCTGAGACAAAAAAAATGTGTGAGCTGGAGGCTAAAAAACTGTGAGCTGGCTCACACTGACTCAGCTTAGGGGGAACAATGATGGAGGCGTTGGTTCCGACGGTCTGTTGTGTGTGTCCTCATGCCCGGGCCTGGTTCGTGCTGTTACCCAGACTTCTCTGCAGCCGCCTCCAGGCTGGTCAGAGGGTCAATTGATTGATTTAGCTCACATGACCAATGACCTCAAGCAGAGAATGCAACAAACGTGTAAATGCTCAGAGGGTCTGGTGGAGCAAGCCCCTGCTGCTGTCTCTCCCAAGGCGGGTGTCCTTCCCATCGGAAGCGGAGGTGGCCGCTGGAGCTGGTGGCTGGTGGTGCTGAGTGCCGGGAGTGGGCTTTTGGTGTTCAAAGCGTGCCATCCTGGAGACACCCACACACACCCAAGCCCTCTGCAAGAAGCCAGCCCTGTAGAGGGGGGCCTGGGGAAGTGAGCGTGTGGCAGGGGTGGGGCTCTGCCCTGTCCACGGTCTCACCGGGCCTCCTCGCTCGGCGGTGGCGTGTGGAGGTTGGAAGGGCTCTGGATTGGAGGGGGTGGCGGGTCCCAGGAGGACAGGGTTCCCAGCTGCCCCACGGCGGGGCTATGAGTCAGCTCTTCCCTGGCCCTGCGAGTGGGCTGCATCCATTCCTCGGTCACGAGCCACACCCTTCCACCGGGAGCTCCTGCAGCCAAGGAGGAGCAGAGCCTCACCTTCCGGGCGCAACCCCGGCTTCACTGCAACGCTTTTCTCCCTTGTTCTGTTGTTCCGCCCTTGTCCAGGGATCTGTTTACAGTCCGGACGTGACGGACGATGGATGTGTGACTGATGCCTGGCGTTGGGGAAGTGAGTTAAGCCAACCGAAGGAGGGCCTCCCCCATTTGGATGAACAGTAAGGTAAGGAACGTCTTTGATTCCCCCCCCCCCCAGTCTTTTTGAGGCAGAAGAAAGCACAGCCCGCCGGCCTTTTGGCTCCCGTCAGGATAATGTGGTTGGTCTTTAAGGTTTCCCCGACGTCTTGCTGTGAAAATGTCACTTCTGGTTGCTCTGCTGGGGAAGGCGGGGAGGTGTGTCGTCTGCGGAGGAGGAGGAGAGAGCCGTGGGAGGGGGCCCCCTGCACACTGGGTGCCCCCCCCCCGTTGCTTTAGTTTCCCAGCGCTTCACAGGCTGTTTCAGTGTGGAGGCTGGCTTCTTGCACATTCCGCCTTCTGTTCTTGGCACAAATGTTGGCTTCATGCATGTGGTCGTTCAGCTCACAGGAAGTACGGTTAGTTTTGTGTGTGCGTGTGTGTGTGTGTGTGTAAATCTGGGCTCTTCCTTTCCTCCCCCCCCCCCTGTAAAGATGAAGTGGGAAAGTCGGTGCTGTGATTTCTGTGCGGCTTTTCTGGAGTTGTCTGGCAGGCGGGTTCTGCAGGCTGCTGGTCTTGTGGGTGGTTCTGCCCCGTTGAGCCCTTTCCCTCGGAAGGAAGAGAGTGTCCTTCAGCCCTGGCTTCCTGACGTGTCGGCCACCTGCAAGGGGGGGGGCTCTCTTTCTGCCACCCTGAGGGAGGGCCTCTGGGCTGGGGGCTTCGCAGCCGGGGGCCGCTTTGCTTTGGGAGGCTTCTGAACAGCCGCCCTTTGCAGTCGGTGGCGTTGCCTTTGCAGCTACGGCGTGGACAACATCTGTGCCGTGTGCCCCTTGCGCAAGAAGGTGCCGTGCTCTTGAGTCCAGCGCCCACAGAGAGCCCCTTGCGTCCTCCCGGGAGAGGCAGGCCCCGTAGGTAGGAAGGCAGGCAACCTGGTCTCCATGGGGGGCTTAACTGTGCAAAATCCCAGGAGGGACCCTGTGCAGTGTAGTGCTTAATGCTTGGGACTGGAGTCTGGGGGACGCAGGTTCGAATCTGCCGTGGAAGCTCGCTGGGTGGACTTGGGCCTGTCACTCGCACCCTGCCTGACAGGGAAGGGTCCTTGTGAGGATACATTGGATGAGAGGCAGAAGATGTAAAGTGCTGGGGATGGGGGTCCTCATTGGGGAGAGGAAGGTGGTATGTAACGGAAGGAAGTCAATTCTCTGACGGCCTGACGGCTTTTATGTTCTCAAAGGGAGAGGCCGTATTTCTGTCTCTCTCTCTCCCAGTAGCCTCTGGTGCACCTTGAAGCCTGTTTTGCACCCAGCTCCATGCCATTGCCTGAAGTCCGCCTTGCCGTCTGGTCTGTCTCCCAAGGAGGCAACAAATGGCTTCCTCTCATGCCCTGAAACAAGTCCTTCCCGCACTCTTCTTTTTACTGATCATCCGGCCTTGATGAAGAGCTCTGGGGAACTCTATAAAGTTTACTCGCCAACTTCTTCCTTTAAAAAAACCCCTCTACATTCCACCTTTCCAGACGTTTAGAGGAGCTTACAAAATAATAGGGTAAAAAAATCATGTACTCACAACCAATGTTCCCTCTAAGCCGTGGAGTCTCATGAGCAAAAATTCTACTTTGTGAGCTACTGGCATTAAAATTGTGAGCGAGCGATTTGGCTGCTGCATAAATGAGTTGGCTCTGGAGCCCCATCCTTCCTGAGCCGAGACAAAAATTTGTGAGCCGGAGGCTAAAAAACTGCGAGCTGGCTCACACTAACTCAGCTTAGAGGGAACACTGCTCACAACCAGGAGTCATTTTGTAGAAAAAGAGGTGCAGGAGCTCATTGGCATGACTCATTTGCATATGACACACCCCCTGACATCACCGGAAGTGTGTCAGAAGGCAACACCCACCGCTCAGGCTCCACGGGACTCTTTTGGATTGCTAGCTATTGGTGGGGAGGGGGGGAACGTGCAGATCTGTCCTCGCAGAGGAGGGAGAACTTGTACATGAATAAAACTTGGTCTTAAAGGTGCCACTGGACTGTTTTGGGCCGGTGGGGGGGGCTCTGCAGGTTACCTGGCTGCTTCTTGCTCTGACTGAGGGCTGCTGGGAGCAGGGGGCGGGGCTTGTTGCATGTGCCCGCCCCCTGGGCTCTTTACTGCCGGAGCTCCGCTCCTGTAGGAAATGACCCCTGCTCACAACACACAATAAGACACTCAAGTCCATTGACAGTTTCATCAGAGCTCAGCAGGCAGATCAGAAACACACACACACACACACACACACAGAGTGTGGAAAAGCCCCGTGCCTTGGGGGGGGGGGATGGAGGGTGGGAGCTCTGACTCTCTTCAGGGAGCCTGTTCCGTAAGAGGGGGGCAGCAACCAGTAGACATGCACTCCCAGTGTGTGTGTGGGGGGGTGAGGTCTTGAGGGGGGCCCAGGTTCCTGCCTGGTGGGGGCTCGGGCCCAGTAAAAAGGCCCTCTGCTTCTCCTGGGCGTCTGGCGCTTCTTCCCACCGAGGATTCGTAATCCGGTGTCTTTGTTGTGCTTCCGCACGGGCTCTGCAGTCAGATCTCACTGCAAGGCCTTGAGGCGGAGGAAGACACCACCTTGTCAGGCCCCCCTCCCATTGCTGGCCTGCTCGACCTGGTGGTGCTGCACAGGCGGTGGCACGGTCCCTGGAGTTGCCTTTCACAGCACAGAGGAGCAGCCTTGGAGCCCCCTTCTCCCCTCTCTTGGGTGGGGGTCCTGGGGGCCCTGCCTCTTCCCGGCCCCCTTCTTGGCCTTGGAGGGCTGCCTCGTGCCTCCGATGCGGCCACCCCCCTCTTCTCTGCCCAACGTCTCCCTGGTCGAATTCGACACTGAGCGGTGCCGGTGTTGCAGGGCTGGCCTTGCGCCTGCCCTCTGCCCCCTCCACCCCCAGCTCGTCAGCAGGGTCCCGGTCCTGTCTGGTGTGCTGTTCCCTGCTGCACACGAGCAGAAGAGGTGAAGGCTGGTCGGGAGGCAGATTTGCTTCGTGCTATTCCTTGTTACTCTGTGGTCCTGCATGGACTGTGGCAAAACTCTTTGATGCTTGACAGTGGCGATGGGGAGACTCCCCCCCCCTCCCCCCTTTTGCTGCAGGGTGTCAGGCAGGGCCCAGGCACTGAAGTCGGGAAGGCTCCTTAATCGCTTGGCCTTTTGGCTGTGGGTCCTGACACAGCAGAAAGGCCAAGCGATTAAGGAGGCAGGTGAACCCTAGGCCTATAAACCATACGGCAGCATAGCTGGCATGCTGGAGCTGTGTCCTGTCCTCCTCCTCCCGCCTCTGGCCGTCCAGCATAGCTGCAGGGGTGGTGGGGGCTCTGTGCGTCGCCTTGGCTGGCCCGTGGGGGTTGTCCTCCTCCCCGTGAGGAAGGCGGGCAGTCTGCAGCCAAGCAAGCTCCGGCGAGGTGTGGGGAAACATGCTGCCGGTGCTGAGGCCCAGAGGGAGTCCCCCGTTCCAGTTGTGCCTGAAGTCATGCTCTCATCCTCAGACCTGCTGCTGCCCTCCCACCTCTAAGGGGGGGGCCCTTCCTTGCAAGGCTGCCGTGTGATAGGGAGGGTCCCCGGGCAGTGCCCCGCTGGGAGAGGCCCCTCTTCTGCGTGGGGTGTGTGTGTCTGTGCTTTTAAGGAGCGTGAGTGAGGGAGTCCTTCTGGTGTCCCTGGCCGAATTATTCTCTCTTCCGAGCAGGTTGTGCTCTTAAGGCCGCGGGAGGTGTTTGGGGCCAAACCCACCCGCCCCCGAGGCCTTTCCCACCAGCAATGCCCAAGCCTCTGTCCAGCACCGGGCGCATCCACGCGACCGTCCTCTAGCCACAGCGGTCTCCGCAGCAGCACCTGGCGGTCTGTGCCGCAAACAGGAAGAGTCTTCCAGGGGACAGCGAGATCCAACCCCAGCAAGGTTGGAGAACAACAAGATTGTTTGGGGTGGGGTGGGGTGATATGAGCTCCAAAGGAGCTTTGACTCTGGAAAGCTTAGACACGTGTGTCCCCCCCCCCAATAAAAAAACCCATCTCGTTGGTCTCCAGGCCTGGCTTGCGTCTGTCTGTCTGTCAGAAGGGCATCTGTTATCCCGCCTCCCCCCCCCCCCAGCCCCACCACCCTTCTGCCCTAAGCCGATGGGGGCTTCCCGGGGCCAGGCCAGATCCAGCCGCCCCTGCCTTGGGAAACGGACGGACGGAGGATGCGCTTCCGAGAGCCGGGCCAGGTCGAGGAGCGTCCTTCTGGCTGGGCTGGGTCACGGTCTCCCCCCACCGTCACGTGTCACAGTCTCGCTTGCTGGCCGAGGCCGAGAAGAGGGCCGCCGTCCGTGGGAACCGACTGGCGCTGGGGTTCCTGTGGCCACCCAGGAGGTGTGGGGTGGCGTCGAGGTGGAGCTGGCAACGGGGAAAGGCCGAATTCCTTCCCTTCCCTCTTGGCTGGGAAGCCCTCTGGCTCGCGGGGTGTTTTCCGCCTCCCTTGCTCCTGCTGGTGCGGCTGGAGGCAGCTGTCCTCTTTGGGACAGAAGGAAGGGGGCTGGGAGCTGGGCGGGCGGGGTGGAGGAGGAGGAGGAGAAAGGAGGGAGAGCTTGGCCTGCTAGCCAAACCCAGGCCCTGGAGGAACGGAGGCCCTCCACCCACCCGGGGTTCACTTCTGGGGTCCTGTCTCGCCACTCCCGTCTGGGCCGGAGCTGGAGAGAAGAGCGAGAGAGCGTTGGCCGCTTTGTTCAGGCTGGGCGTGGGCTGCTCCGTCCCTGCGGTTCTTTTCTGGACTGGGTGCAAACTGACGGATTGCCCCCCCAGCCAGCAGCCTCCGCCCTCCCTGGAGCACTGCCTCCAGAGGGCGTGCCCAATGCGGCCTTTGCGAGGGAAGGCCCCACCGCCCCCCACCCCAACAAGACAAGGCAGAACTCGTCCACCAGACCACAGCTCTTCATGGACGGCCTTCTCAGTTGCGGCCCCTACCCTGCAGAAGGCACCCTGGGATGACGCCTGTGCCCTGCCGGGCTTCAGTTTCTGCAGGGAATGCAGCAAGGCTGAATTGTTTAGGTTGGCTTTCGGAGGGT